TAGCTACGACGAATCTTCACAAAAACCCCCCTACTACTCACTAATAATGTTTCCAATGTTAAGGGCAGTGCAACAAACACCACATTTCTGCAGCTTCGACGGTTTCAAAACATCGCCCGCGACGCACGCTTTAATTCCAGTCGATTTTTGGCTCATGCACTCCATTCCTCAGTGTCAGTCAACCGACCAGTTCATCCCAATATTATGTTGAGTTTTGCTTCGAGAATCCTGGTGAGGAACGAAAATTATCTAAGGTGGGCACTCACTGAGTCTCAATCGATGCTGACACATCATGCTGACACGCACTGGTGCACGATCTATATGTACTCCAAGTAGAACGCCATCTGTGGCGGACAGTGATATAAAGTCACCTTCGGTCTCAGGCGTCTGCGCTAAGTAAGATGATGTTGGCGTCTGCGTTGTCAATAGGTACTGTTGCTATAAAGGGTGTGATTTGCACATTACTGAAAATTCTACCATCGCCATCTACTCGATAGTCATCAACGTCGAGTCGATTTCTCGATGTCCGGTCACACATTTAGTAAGCAACAACCACTACATTCGCATTCTTCGTTGCACAGATAATGGGTCTGAGTTGCACATGGGATTCATCTTTGGCATCTTCTTCGCTCTTCTGAGGTTTGGAACGTGGGCCAAGGCCGGTAAACAGCGCCGCATTTTCTGCCAATGCTGGTTTGACAGCAGTTCGAAGCGAATTGCCACAGGCGGCCATTCGGCAATATCCAGGTCACTTTACTTGAGCCGACACCTTTTCAGGCGATGAACAACACCTACGCGGGCAATCAAATAGGTGTGAAGGTAATATTACCAGATACTGTAGGCTTAGATGTGTTTCCGAACTTCATCACTTGCATCCGTTGGTGTCCCTTTCAGAGAACCATTTGTCCATCCAGCTCCCTGACAACACTAGACCATCGTCGCAACGGTTATTTTTTCCTTTTCGCATGTTAGTCACTTTGACCTACTTAAAGGTTTTCAGTATTCCACATTCATTAAAAGATCTTGCTGTGGTAGACCGTTTTTCCGCTGGTACTGTGGACTTGTTCCTTTTTGATGCACATACACAGTGCACAGCAGCTGTTAGTTTGTCCTCAACAGCCCTATAGTGCTGTTCTCACTGTCGCTTGTTGGTTATAGTTCATCATCACCGTCATAACCAGTGAGATGCGAGTACTTTGTGGCGATACTTCCCACAAGGAGTACGATTGATGATTTACCTAGAGCAGCCAACTTTCTCATGCTGTTATCGCAGCTTAGTGTAATGGCTCTTTTTCGCCTCCATTGATCTACCGTCTATTCAATCTTGCACACACTGATGCCAGTAAGACAACGATTTGGCCTGGAGGTCAGACTGTACATTAAGCGACACCTGTGCCACTACCGATTGTAACTGTGGTCAACACGCACACACCAAGTCACCGGGACCACTAACTGTGTCATAAATAGATGAATTTGACATTCACAACGAATGTATCGACCTTTCCAAGGTTGGTATAGAGCGCGCCACTTGGGCATCTTGGGGCCCAGCCTATTGCATCATTGAGCAAAGAACGGCTACCCACTGATCACAGTAACACACCATCACACTATTCATGCAAATACAGACCAATGAGTTTTATTTATCACGTCTGTGCTGTTCACCACTCTGTCAAAAATGGCCCTGCAAACAGGATTACTGTCGCTGTCTCTCGATGGCTGCATCGCATTAGACGACCGACTCCACATCTGTTTGGAGCTTTCAAATGCCGGAGATCTGGGGATAGGAATTATCGATCTATTAGCCTCGTGTGTTATGGCTAGCTCAAACCTAACTCGGAGTAGCATACTATCTGTAAAGAGGAACTTGTCCGGAGGTGTAATTGCGCACAGGAAACGAAACAACATGCGTTGTTCAGATTTAAATGCGCAGCTGACTGCAAACAGCCATGTGTATGTATCGGAACAGTGCACCCCTACTGTCCGGTCCCTGTATCTCTCTGATACGAAAATATCATTCTTTCTGTCTGTTCGAAACAAGGTTTCACCTGCGAACGTCAGTAGTATGAATATTGGCTTTGGCTTTCTGTCCCTACTGTGTTTATTGCACCAGTACACTCTGCCTATATGGTATCTTGTTTTCTGACACTCAGGATGTGAGAACGGAGGGTTCATCCGATTTCAGCTTTGAAAAGTTGGCTGGCTCCTTTTTTACACCGCTACCTATTGTTTGCGCTGGCATGCAGTGTTTAAAGTGGGCTGTTCAATCACCGTCCATTTTGACCAGTAGGGTTATACAAGCATACGACTTGCTGTACCACATCGAAACGCGATTTTTCCTCCAACGAATGGTAGCATCTTGCAATCCACATTGCCAGCGGAACAAGAGTCTTCCTCCGTTTACATATTGCCAATTTTATCAGTCTTGCTAGGATCCCAGCTTGAGGTGATAATCACAGATACTAAACTCCACGCCCTTTCGACACTTCATCTTGTATGTTTGCCATTATAACCCAATGATGATTTTTACCTGTCAATGACTGCGACCTTCTACTGCAATGTTAGAACGCTTGCTCTGATCCAGCACCATGAATGTGCTTCAGATCTGATGACGAGTACGACCCTGTCTTGTGGAAGTCGATTGGCTAACCCGTGGGTTAACTGTGCACTGATAAGCGATTTTTCTCCTATCTTTCTGCTAGGTATTACGCAACCCCTTCTGTCTGTTTCACCTGCCCACCTTTCACCAACCGTAATAAGTACCGTGGGTTGTTCGTTGTGGACCATCTTCAACCATCCGTGTGTATATCGCTTGCCGTTCAGTGCTCCGAATCTGCTACTCAATCCGTTATCTTTCAGCCCACCGTCCTGGTTGCCATTAGTCTTTTCTTGCGCAATGTTGGACTTTTACGCAAAGATGCACCGATTATCTACATACGTCCTTACTACTACCGGTGTGCTTCGTCGTGATCTTACTCCCTCCGTCCCCAGACGGACTGGTTCCAGACAACCTGTCAGCACTACGCCAAACGTTTAACGATCGTTGTGCACATAGTGTTTACTAGGTGCTTACTTTAATTTCTCCTCCCATGTTGACTCAGGTCGCAACCGATTGCATCCTACATTGTACGACACTGAAAAGCAAACAGAGCGTCCATGTTCTCGCGCAATTCTCTTGCACCACCAGAGTGCTCGTACGCTGTCGACACGATGTCTAGAAAGCTTCCGGCTCCATAGTCTTAAAGATCACAAGCCTGTCTTGTAATCTGAGGTCGCGAGTTTGGAGCATGCGCGGGGGCTGGGCGACTCTTTCGGCATCCTTAGTCCACCTATGACCGGTGATGGTTGCGCGGCAAGGAACTTTCGGTACTGCGTACCGGCGTGCTGTTGATGCCCTTCTTTTTTCTAAACAGCTGCCTGCGGGTTCACGTAGAGCTAGGTGAGCCGGTACAGTAATGTTGTGCACTGCCTGTTCCAGCAGGTGCGCAGCAGTACCATTCACCATTAGCGTGCACACATCTGCCATCGCTTCACTTGTTTTCCTCGTGCTTTTGACCGCATTTAGTTGTTTTTCGCTAGCTAAACGACCTCATAGTTCACTAAATGCACCAATTCAGCGATGCCTTTATCGGCCAGCACAGTTCGTTAGCACAAGCCTGGCGGAGAATAATACTCGGTTCTTCTCTCAGTTAATCTATATCTGTCATTGATCATTCTAAGCAGTCTCTGAGATCCGATAGTGCTCCATTTTTCAGCTTTGTCGATAACTACTTTGGTTCCCTTCTAATGTTATTCGAGCATGAATAATCTAATCTATTCTTTTATAAAAAGAAGGCATCAGCAGTACGCCAGTATGCAGGATCGACGCTTCACTGCCACGCAACCACCATCAGTCGCGCGTCATCTAAGAATGCTGCGAGGGTCGCCCGGTCCTCTACGCAGGGTCGAACTCTCGTCTTCGGATTATAAGGCATGCTTATGATTCTTAAGGTCACGGACCGGCAATATTTCTCTATATTTACTAAACAAGTGGTAAAATCACTGTTGCGCCTCTGCTTCATCCTGTATGTCACTGTATCAGACGGCGTTCATGAAATTTGTCCACTTTTATTGCTGTTCACTACGTATTGTAGCATAGTGCGCTCCTTGTATTGTTCCCGCTTTTTCTCATACCACACCGTGTTAACACATAGTTGACTTACTGAACGAGCTATCCTAGAGTCATTTGAAACTGCCAGCGGTTTTGACTGCTCCCTTGTCGTTATTAAAATGGTAACTTATCGTGGCTCCATGGAAGAATTTTCGAATTAAACACTTCCCTCCCATTGTCTGCCTGTCTCCATTGACCATCACACTTGGGAGGGAATTTTACAAATCCACAACTCCATAGCACGTAGGGGCCTAACTCCGCCAACACCATTGCATCGCTGAACCCAGCGCCGCGTGCAGCTTTATGCTGTATTCGTAGTCTTGTTCACACTCTCCTTACCTGTAGGTTCCTCTAACACAGCAAAGATATTCACCATCGGCTTCCACGGACACCTTCTCTTAGTTCCTCCTCATTGTGTGGATTCATTGAAAAATTGTACCTGACATCCCAAATGTAAATGATGCTCTTTCTTTGAAAGCACCTTGGCTTTCCCTGACGATTGTCCGCAAAGTTTGTTGTTTTGCTAATAAAAACCGTAGTCTCTGTCGGTCTGATCACCTTATTATCACCTAAACTCAATACGGGTTCTTTGTGTGAACGCATTCCTAGTTCCTTTGCTTTCCTTTAGCCTGTGGGAAGTGTTTAGTTGTGTCCGGCACTTCATTACTTGGGGTTCAGTGTTCTTGGCACACATGCGTACTCACCCTTTCAGCTGTACACGACCTCCCCCTAGCAGTTCCAATTCCAGTACTGTACCGTTGGTCGGCATGGTGGTGCAACTGGAGCGTTTCAAAACGTTAGATTTCTCCTCGCGCACAACTCCTTTTCTCGTTTTGCCTTTCAAACAAATTAGGTCTGATCAAAGCTGCCCTCACCAACACCACGGTTGCACAACCTGGTGATTTTCGGGCCACCTTCGAGGCACCGATCGGGAAAGCCGATTTGGTCTTTCTGCGCACTTTTGTCGCCGTGGGCATTCCCAAATACTATAATCCGGTGCTGAATCGTTTGTGTGCTATAGAGGGCGAACACACAAAGAACACTGGTAAGCATGGGTGGCGTCTGCTACGGACCCTGCAGGAGCTACGGAAAGAAGCTGGGGAGAAACCGGAGTTTCGATCAGATTCCCAATACAAAGTGAGTTCGAGTTGTTGAATGTGATCCATGGGACTTGCCGACCCCTATGATAGGCCGATGTCCATATAACCCACTATCGAATTGAGACCTCTGTCAGTAAGCCGGTTTTTGCACGGGCTCGACATTATCATTGCTACTTCTCCCTTCCAACTGCCTTTTTTCTACCATAGAGTGTTATCCACTCAAAGCATTTCAACGCCAGATCTTCTGATACGCGTCACATTATCTTGTTACCAAAATAGGGCCTCGCTTAACTCTCGCGACTGATACGTACACGCAGGGTGTCTGTCTGTTTTTCTCTTATCATGCGCCAGCCGTTCTGTGCCGCTCGGATTGCTGATGAGTGCCATTTTCGCTTGGGGAATCACTCCCTCATCACTTGTATGCGCACCTTTTCCCTCTATCATGTTTGCTTACTGTAGACGCGGACGGCGTCACTGCAGTGTTGTAGCGCGTTGTGTTCACAATCCGCTTGATTGTCTAGATCCTAGTTGCCGACTAAAGAATTGCACCTCGTTTCATGTAGCTAGTATTACTCTGACCCATAAAAATCCACCTGACCATCGATCTGCCCTCCATTTACTCCCAATATACTGGGTATGACGGGAGTCAGGAGTAATGTGATTCGGAGCTCGTCGCTCGGGACGAAAAATTCAATATTTTTTATGTCCTATATGAAGAAATAATACCGGCGCTCCAGGTGATATAGTGGTTAGGAATTGTCTCATCAAATCACGTGTTCTCCCAGTTAACTATTGACAATCATCTCCACTGTATCTTATTCTTTCTCACCATTAATGCTTGAATTTCTTTTTGTGCCGCGACTGTCTTCTGCCACCCTAGCGATTTTTGGATGGGTTATCGTTGTTTTTCAAACCTATTGCTAAGCGCGTTTTTCTCTGGTCAACGGTTGGAACGTTTCCTCATCAGCTTTTTTATGGCAGGTACAATAAGATGCTTTTTTGGATGAAACTTAACCGATTCGTCACAGTTGCTTACAAGCCATATGGCCTGAACCCAATACAGAATAGCACCGGACGATAGTCTCACCCTATATGGGCTGGCCAGGGTTGCGCAGTCCCTGTGGGGGGATCGAACTCATGGCAACTAGCAGTTTATGCCACTGAGCCATGGGGGACAGAGGCAGACCCTCTTAACTTGCAAGCTAACTGGGAAATAGCGCAACCTATCCTCCACTCCCATGCAGGTTTCTACCATTGCGAAGGACAGTGGGCTGGCCTCCGAGGTTACGGCCTCCACTACACAGTAGCCATGTCTGCATAGCATTTGCAGACTGTAATGACGAAAGTTAGACATCTGCCCCTTTAACAGATCAAGGCTTCGGTGGTCGAATTCTGGTGACCAGCTACCCAAACTGTTCTCAGTGCGACTCAATCTTCCTCTCAAGATTACGTATAGGGCACCTAGATTCTCAGCATGATTTTACTTAAATGGTTACTTCCGGAGCTTTGATAAGCTCAGTCTTTTACGTCAGTCTCCTAAACATATGTGTTTGTTAGTTTACATTAATTACTACTCCTTAGACGGATTTGTCCTCCTTCACCAGACTGATTTTTAGCTATTTTATTTGGTCAAATACTTCACTGAACTTTGTCAAGCAGTGTGAATTTGCGAAGCTGTCTACTCCTATCTTTTCGCACAGTGTTTAGCATATTTCGCTCACAAATTAGTTGTTCCTGCTCACGATTAATCGAGTCGACTGCCTGATTCAACTCCGGAATCAGTATTGCCCATTTCTGCATCGGTTTCTCATGATTTTGATGGCTCACTTCGTTTTCGTTGCCTATCGTTCTTAGAGGTGCTAGACATATACAGGTATTCGGGAGAAGAAGAAGAAAGAAAGAAAGAAAAGCATCATCAGTATGCTGTTACGCAGTAACGGCGCTTCGTTGCCGCACAACCACCCCCGGTCGCACGTGGGCGAGGGTCACCCCGTCTCTACGCAAGCTCGAACCCGCGCCGCCAGATTACAAGACAAGCTCGTTACGTTTAGGCTACGGGCCGACATGTGTATTGACTAACTGCAGTGTTGTTTGGTGCCGTGCTATTTTGCCACCGCTACGCCTACGGGGGTAACATGCACCCTTTCAGATACGCATGCATTACTCAGTTTTACTTTGCCACAGTGTCAACCGTCGCCCTTTGTTTACATAAACACTCGCCTCCAACCGTATTTTATCTAATTTAACGTCTTTTCCTTCGGCTCGCAGCCCATACACCGTCCGGTTTACGTCCCCCCACCGCTATTCGTGCCCACGAAATTGGTAGCCGCTCTGCCCTTCGCACATAAACCGAAGCCGTCCAAACGGGCTGCTCGTCACATGCTCGGCGGTGATCCGGTCCGGTCTGCTCTATCCACTGAGCTTCCTCCCCCAGTGCGGTCCGCAGACGATCGCAACGGTGAGACTCCGGAAGACCTCCTCATTCGTCTGAGACAGCTACACGCGGACTTCAAGCAACGCCAACGGGAGAAGATGGTGAAGCGTGTGACTAAACACAAACAAGAGCTTGCGAAGCAGGAGAAGCGCCGCTTGGCAAATCAACGTCAGAAGCGCAAATCTTTCTTTGCCCGCCAAGGGAACAAGGCGGGTCGTAGCAAACACGATCGGTCGGAGGACTGAGACTCACACAATCAGAGTTGTTGATAATTTTTTTCAAATGTACAGACATCACTTTGACCTCACGCATTTCACCATTAGGATGCTCTTCGGTATGCTCAACCAACTGATCTTGTTTATTGTATCCGGACTGCCACAGTCCTGGCGATTGCAAACGAGTACCAAACCTATTGTAGAGTGTCGTGTTGGGTTCAGGTAACACCTCTAACGTTTTTTCTACAGCAGCTACTTCAATGCAAATCGTGGTCTGCATAGAGATTGCGTATCACAACCCATTCAGACAGCCTTTCAAGATGACTCCCAGTAGGTGACTACCATGCTTTGTGATGGTGCGTTCGCATGGCGTGAGAATTGAATGTTGCCAGTCGTCTTCCTATGGTTTGCGAATAATGCTCATAATTTCTACTGGCGAAACTGCGATTTTATAGATGCAAAGTGTGATACACCGCATCTCCGTTTCACATTTTCTTATCCGGCGGCTTATTAGACTGTATCGTGGTTGCAAAAGAAGCACCCTGCGAGTTATATGCTCTGTGGCATTTATAATGCTTGGACTCGTTGCGCACGAACAGTTTGCTCGATCAACTCATTTTGTACACACGTACTTTTCACTGAAATTTGTCATCATTTTGGCTCCAGGTGCATTGATGATAGGCTTGAAACGCCTATTCTGCCGGTTAACTAACCACCAGTTTGTATTTTTTCCGGAAATTCTGCATGCAGAGCTCTAGGAGTGCCGTTGGTTCGACCTCTACATCAAGTCTAGTAAGAGTCTGCACTAGTAGAGCAAAAACTTCATATAACTAACTCAGTGACTGTCCGAGATGAACTATTGCTCAATGACAGTCATTCATTAATCGAGAGTACAAGACAGTCGAAATAACAATGTCCAGAGTGGCAGCTGGTGGTACTCATGAACTACTGCTGGTTGTGGTGACCCGTGGACAGTGCTCCACTGAATACCAAGGGTCTTCACTACCATGTATCCAAACAATGACCGGTTTTGTGGTCAGTTAAACTCATCTGTTTCTCACGTTTGTGAGCTCGCTTGTTCCCGTGTCGTCTGACAGCTGCATAGAACAAATGCCGTAACTAGTTCATGAAGAGGTCGTTCTCATTGTTTTCAGTGCTCATTCTCACTTACTCATCAATCTTCGGACATAGTGGAATTGTGTCCAGAAATCAGCATTTCCAGGCCGAGATTGATTCGCTCCGCATTAGTGAGCCAGCAGATAGATAGATAGGCGGAGATGTGTATCAACGGTTTTTTTACGCTGGTGCATTGAAGTTGTTAGTAACAGTGTTTCTACTTGTGTGTGCATTTTGTATTTGGGTCATCAGGATCGCGACTCTACAAGCTACCATGACGACGCCACACGCTACCAACTGGTTAACCAAAAGCACTTGTGCGAAATGAGTGGTAATTCACCCGTAAGATCCATATTTGTGTTATAGACCAAAGATGAGCAGTCACTATATTAGCTCTTTGGGAGTAATTCATCTAGACTAGCGACGTGTTTTGTCTCTCTTTACCAGCCTACCAATACTGTGACCCTGTATACCATACAAAAACACTTCAACTCAACTCAGTCTCAAAAATAAACGGTCAAAAAATTTTCTGAGCTCCGAACAACAGGTTCATACGAATTTGGAATCCGCACACACAGACATTGTAGCATGCGGCTAACTTAAGGCGTTCTTGATTGGCTGCTTGTTTGATACTAATCGATTTTCATCCTATTATGCACTTTTTCATCGGTTTTCCTTTGGCAATATGGCATCCTGACGATCTTACATCCTGATATTCTCTCAGGTTTAAGTAAATTTCGGTTAAACAATGGCTGCTGATGATAGAGCTCGTGCATTCCCCGTTCGAACATCGACACTGTCGGCCTGTGCCACTCGTTGGTTAGTAGAACTCCTTGTCACTGCGTTTTGAGAACACGTTGCATGCCGAACTTTCTACTCGAGCCGATATGTTTTCACGATATCGCAGGACGGAGATAGAAATGTTTGGACTTTCTCTAGTCGCTAACATTCAAACTGATGTAATTTCGATCCGACTATGGAAACCGTAGCTGTGTGTTCAGAAGCGGCTCACTCGAGAGTTGGCCAAACGGTTGGTGAACTCAGATTTTCTAGGCCATGTGTAGTCGGTTGTTTTAACCTAACTGACCTCCGCTGTCATCGTCCAATTCACTCGTCCGATGAGTAATGACTTGTACTGTCTGTGCGCATGTCTAAATTTGCATAAATTTGTACAGGCCTGAAGATGAATTATTGAATACCTGGGTTTGCTTACTCTGACTTCCGCTATTGAAATGTAGTTATTCCGTTTCGTTCAACTGAAACATTTGATTTATATGATGAATCCACCGTTTGAGTAAGAGCTAACGACATCAGGCCGCATTTGTCTTTCGTCGGAACATGGCTGGGTGAGATTACTCCGAAGTTTGGCATGGCAACGCAAGTCCACAGTGCCTTTCCACTGCTGGTAAAAACGACAACGACACAACAAACAGTAGTACATCAGCTATTTGAATTGTTGTTTCGCTACCATACAACCACCACCATCTAAGGAGTGACGAATATTAAGAGGGGAAGAGCGGGTACCTAGTGTAAAACTTATTTGCCCTAAGCAAACATTGTGCCTGGTCACAAACCGCTGGCTATTATGTAAAAACCTCAAAACTAGGCTGCAGTGAATGGCTCGTTTTCATTGGCTTATCATCAGGCTAGTACATCACAATGGACAAAGTTAAATGAAGTGCGAAGAATAAACGAATTGAAATGTTTATCTACATATCTAAATGATTGGTCTATTCAAGGTCAATTTATGGAGCGTGGCGTGATTGCCATCGTTAATCGAGGCGGGTTGCAGCTACGGCAGCCGAATGGGCTATACGAGTTTCTTCTAAGCGCATAGCTCTGGGTTTTGGAGCCGGATAGCGATTACTTCTGCTGTCGCCAGAGGACGGCATCTGACCGTTCGCGTGTAGTACCCGGTAGATGGGCTAGGGTTCCACTTGCGTGTTCACCTAGGGATTCGAAACAATCAGGTGCTATAACACGGCACTCGCTACGGTCTTCCTCATACCAATGCTGAGGTTCGCAGGACAATGTTCCCCAACTCTTCCGGACAGACACTTTGTGGCTTTCCCAAAAGATCTTGTTCGACATTAACAAGAGAATTACACACATAAGGAAAACGCAGACCGTAGCACCCTGTCCTTGAACTGTTTTTCCACAATCGGTATTGTAGTGTAATCGATACGTAAGTTGGCCGCAGTGAATGTTATGGTGTTAGTATTAGATGGCTTCCGGACTGTCCTTTTTGCTTTCGCGTCAGTCTTAAATGTTAACAAATGATAGATGAACCGTTTTTCAAAGGAAACTTGTTTCATTTTTGATTTCCCGAGGAAGCTTCCTTGCGGCTTTCAGTGTCCCGTGTCATAATCAGTCATTACCTCGCAGATAACAGCAACAAACACTTTAGACAGGCAGTCCGACTAGAAGACGACAGCAGACGCGTCACTGGTGCAGGCTGCGAGCCATGTCCCGTAACGTCTCGAGCCTAGCACTAGGCGGGTCACGTGGACTCCAGTCTAGATGGCGAGACGGACTAGCATCATCGGGTATGGTCGCCAGTGACTTCATCTCATAATGCAAAGTCGACTTTTGCTCACCTCGAGCCTTGAACCACTCTGCATCAGATAAACACAATAAGGCTCTCCTCTATAAGCTACTGCAACTTTTTCAGGATTATTCTTTGTTTTTAAGAACTAACCTCGCTATCTCCGGATAGCAGTCGTCTGTGCGCATCATCATAAACACACTGGTGCCATCCGACATCAGCAATGCTTCGTAGGCAACGATGATCAAAGACTGGAAGTTGCTTCGAATCCTTAGACCGAACGGGCCGTGTCACTTCCACATAGTAGTACGGCTCTTATCGTTGCCTTGTACACTGGCCATTCAGACCGAAGGGAACCCCCTCCTAACTCCATGGATGTTACAGGTTCAAGAAGGCGGTTCTGACTTTCGCAATGCGTGAACTAATAGTGGTTACTTTTGACAATTTGTGTGCACACCCAAGATCGGGGCCTGTAGAAAGTTGCCAAGGGATGACAATGTCCCGGCAGAAAACAGAAAAAGTAGTCAGGAGTAAAGAAATCTATAAACCGGACAGAACTGCTCACCTATTTTGCCAGTGAGTTGTGTATAGGCTGTTTGGAGGAAGCTCCGCGCATATAGGTGTCACACACGCTGAGTATCTCGCGAATAGTGCAGATACACAGATTTGAAATGTCATATATATATATATATATATATATATATGCTGAGGCTGATGTTGCATTCTTGATGCTTCTTCACCGCAGTTGGGCTAAACCAGCTTACACTTAGACTAAGTCTTTTTAAGCTGCATAAATTTCATTCCACTTTATTTGATTTGTTCTGCCTATTTGCATAATCTTCTGTTAACTGGCCACGTTGCTTACGCTAACTGCGCTTATCTTCGGTAACTTGGTTGCGTTTGTAGCATTTTTAAGTAACTTGTGGACATGTTTTGCTTATCGCGCATTTGTTGCTAACCAACTTACTTCATATGCTAATTTAGCGAAGAATTATACCACCGTATCTGTATGCATTATTCGATTTATTTTATTTTATCTTGTCGTTTCAAGTGATTGGCTGTTGCTTGAGATCCCCGGTGTGGCTGCGCTTGATGTGCATGTTGACAAGGTGCCTACCTGTCTATTACCCACTACCCCGTCCATACTGGCTCCAGGAGACAGTTGGTCGTTGCTGGAGGGGACGAGGTGAACGGTCCTTGTGGCCGTGCTGGGCTCGAAGAGCGGTTCCGTGCACTCAGTGTGGAGCGGACTACGGTCCAGCCACCGCCTTGTGTGCGCTTGATTTCCCAAATACAGCGTGCTTGTGTTTGCCTGTGAAGGAGTGTGGGCCGGCTCCGTTGATGAAACGTGGCTCCCATCCACATGCCT